ATAAAATCAACCCAATGAAGATTAAGTAAAATGTAATTACACGCTTTCTTATTACGTATAATAAATAATAAAATCAACCCAATGAAGATTAAGTAAAATGTAATTACACGCTTTCTTATTACGTATAATAAATAATATTTTCCACCCAATGAAGATTAAGTAAAATGTAATTACACGCTTTCTTATTACGTATAATAAATAATATTTTCCATCCAATGAAGATTAAGTAAAATGTAATTACACGCTTTCTTATTACGTATAAGTATTTTCCACCCAATGAAGATTAAGTAAAATGTAATTACACGCTTTCTTATTACGTATAATAAATAATATTTTATGCACTCACACATCGTTTGCTTTTTATTCAAATTATTACCCTGCAAAAATACATATAATCTCTCTATATTTAAACGCCGTTGACAAAAAAGCCAATAGTGTTCGATTCAGTTCTACTGAAGAAACAAAGTGTCGTACTGTATATATATTTAAATTTTAGTGTCACCCACATTCGAAAATTCTTAGGTACAAATAGATCTTCTGCTGAATATATTTCAATTTTCGAAATACATAATGTATAGTATTTGAATTTCTTAGTACTGAATTCATTAAATTTTTAATATTATTTTTAATGTCAATTTTTCTGAATTGTTTTCTTTTCAAAAGCTCGGTTAATGTTTTGTGTGTGTGTGTGTGTGTGTTTGAATGAAACTGTTTTTTATACATTCAAACCCATTATTAATTTTAATGACAATTTTGTGTGTGTTTCTTTTCTTCATTTTTTTCGTGGTTTACTTGTAATCTACGAGAAAAAACTAAGTCGGTTGTTGTAAGATTGTATAAACTTACTGTACAGTCTTTAAACAAAAAGTTTTTGGTATTTTCAACCTAAACGTTATCTTATGCCACACATGTTCTAAACGATCAAGTCAAATACTCCAAGGTTCAGACATAGCCATCCCTAATTTAGAAATGCTTACCAAGGGGTTTTTTTTTGAAATTTCACACAAAGCTACTGGAGGGCTATCTGTGTTAACCGTCCCTAATTTAGAAGTGATAGCCCGTAGAGGGAAGGTAGCTAGTTAACACCACTCACCGCCAAATCTTGGGCTATTCTTTTACCAACAAAAAGAGGGATTAACCGCCACATCATAATGTCCCCACTGAAAGAGTGAGCACGTCCAGTGACGGGATTCGAACTCGCGACCTGCAGACTGGCAGTCCAGCACCCTAACTACCAGACCATGCCAGGCCCTGACCCTTATTCGAACAGTGCAGGATTTACTATTTAAGTTATAACTTCTAAGCAACCATAATATATGGAGCATGTTCAGCAGCATATCATGCTTGAATCTTGGACCTTCCTATCCTTAGCCCAGAACACTAAACACTCGGCATAATCGGATTAATACACGTTGGACTAAAAATAGTAAACGAAGTTGCTAGTTTTATAGTTTTATTTTTATTCTAGAACACAAATACATTTGCAGAGACAAACTTTTTAATGTCATATACTTGTACGATAACATTGGTATTTTAATTATAAATATAACATATCTTAATAAACACCAGAGTGACAGTTAGGCTATAATTTAAGAAATGTACACATCTTCTAATGACCACATTCGTGGCACGCGCATTCTGCTGGTTCTTCAAGATGTATGGTCATTGTTCCTTCGCTGTCATAAATTCGATTTCCGTCACTGCGAAAACATTCCTTCAATTCAATCGTTTTTAATTCCATGATCGCTTCTCGGCAACACCGGCAATCCTGTAGAAAATACACAAACCATCAAAATCAAAACGACATTGTTTAATAATGGTTGGAGACGGCTTGAATGGGTAATGAAGAAAAACTTTAATATAAGTTTAACACAACAGCAAATTAGAACGTTTCGACAAGGTTTTTTCATCATCAGGTTGTGTTAAACTTATATTAAAGTTTTTCTTC